GCAAGGGAGCCCAGAAAAGGTTAATATTTTGCCCTGTGAGAAAGGAAGAAAGGATTGAAGAATAGCCTGCAATCTTTGTTATAACTCCTCACTTGCTTGAGGAGCTCACCACCCCATCTGAGATGTAGTTCTTCATTTGCCAATTCATTCATAAATTTCATATTGTATATATATATATATATATATATATATATATTCACTTGAGTTGTACATACATACCCATGTATACCAGGTATAAATGATTTTTGAGCCAATTGATTGCTAATGGCCCATAAGCTCTGTGACATTTCTCTTGCTCATCATAGTGTCCTCCATGCATGGCAGGGTGGAGCCCATGGAAGCCATACTTCTGGCTGCTTATGGATGCTAGTGGATGGCCACTCTGGCTTTCATATTTGGTGGTGTATCTTTCCTCATTCAGAGCTGAAGTGTTTTTCCTGTCCAGGCCTCCTTGCTCCACATCCCCTCATCTTCATGTGCCAAAGCCTTTCTCAACCCTGGAAGTCAAACATGCTCTGAGTCAGAATCCTGAGTGAGATTAAAAATAAATGAAAGTGCATCAGAACAAGTTAACCACAGAAGAAATGTTCCAGGGTAATTAGGCATCAGGGCTGGAGGTCAGGCAGAGAGAGGTAGATACCAACTACTGGATCTTCCTCTTTGGGCCACTTCTGGATAAGGCAGAGAACACACAGGCTGGCTTGAGCCCCTGCCTGGCTCTTCATACTTCATAATTGGTGAGACTCTCCCCACTCTGGCCCTGGTGCCCACTGAGAGATATTGAAACCTTTAAGAGGTGGTGCTAGAGGGAAATCTCCAATTTCTATAGAGGTCAAATTGGGACCTCACTTTTGAGGGTGGTTTCCCTGTGTGTGCTGTCATTTTGAGTTATGAATGCATCTAAGCTTTAGCTGTGTGGATCTTGTGTAGTCAAGGTTGAGAACAAGTCCTTGGAATATGGGCTGAGCTTGTTTTGCTGGTCTCCTCAGATCTTTTTTTTTTTTTTTTACCTGTATTTTAGGGAAGGGTCTACAGGGTGTTCAGGCTCTCACTACCAGATCGGATTCATAGTGATCTGCCTGTTGACAGGCTCCTAAGAGCTGGGTTTACAGGTGCGCATCACCATGCCCAGTCTCAATTGCAGTCTCAGCATGCCCTGGGCCCTGTGCTTTCTTGCAGGCGCTTTAATCCGCTGAGTTTTTTGGCCAGTCCTCTCCTCAGATCTTTATGTGGGATTGCTATGCTAATTCTTGGCTTGGGATTCTTACTTTATATAGATAAAATGAATTTTTAAAAGCTCTACATAGTGCTGTGCTGGCCCCAGCCCTGGGGCATGCTTAGACAGTGATTGAGACTAGGCCTGGTAGTGCGTGCCTGTAACAAGAGTTTGGGAGGCTGAAAACAGGAGGATCACCACAAATCCAATCTGTAGTGAGATCATGTAGTCCCTGTACTAAAATACATAAAAAATTAAACACCCTACATAAAAATAAATCCTATTGTTTGTTTCCATCCATCTGCTAGAATATTAAAGTCGTTGTCTCTCTGATTTGGGGCTACATATCCAGAGCCTGGAGTAGAATTTGGCAATAGTAGACACTCAAGAAGTGTTTATTAAGAGGGACAATTAAAAAATACTCACTTCACAGGATGTTATAAAGAATAAATGGGAACAGCCCAGCTTCTAATGTTTCTGCCTGCAAACAGCAGAGTTTCCAATTGCACATGGAAGCTATTGTCTCACCTGATAACAGGTAGGTCCTGATTCTGTGACTATAATTTTAAGTCTCTTTAATTTTCTCAGCCTTTGTCATATGTTTACATGATAGTTACTATAACTCCAGACATCACATCCATATTCAGGACAGAAGACAAGAGGTAAAGGGAATAAAGGGAATACATCTGTAACACCTTCCCTTTTATCAGGAATGTAAATGATTTTTTAAAGTGCAACAACAGATTTCTCCTTTGAGCTCAATTGCTAGAAATGGGTCACAGGGCATCCTAGAAATGAGGGAACTTAGAAAAATGCCATTGACTAGACCCAAGCCACACCGACCTGGAGGAGTCTGAACTTTGTAGATCTGGACCTGGTGCTAAGGTAATAACTCTATCTAAGCTCTACACCAAAGATCAGGAGACAGTGGTATACAAAATGACAAAGAGAAGGAATAAAATGCAGTCTCAGGCCCTGAGTCCACCCAGTACAATTGAAATAATAGCATTGGAAGTAAAGAAACAACTGCAGAAAGGTACAGAAGAAATCAGATCAGAAATAATTTCTGAATTAAAAAAAATTTAGTGATAACTATAATCAAAAAGTACTAAGTGCTTCTAAAGAATACACTGATAAAAAAATAGAGGAGAATATAAAAATGATGGAACCCCTGAACAAGCAATATAGGAAAGAAATAGAATGTATAAAACGGATTCAAAGTGATATACAGGAAATTAAAACCTCAATCACAAGCAGGCAAAACCGTTTGAGTGAAAGTGAAAATATACTTTCTGACCTTAAAGACATCATTGCAGCTAGTGAAAAAGTAAGAAAAGATCTCTTAAAAACAACTAGGATGCAGGAAAAAATAATTCAATACCTGCAAGACAATGCAAAGATGAACAATGTGAGACTAATAGGCATCAGTGAGAAGGAAGGAGTCAATACAAATGATATAAAAAGAATATGGGCAGAAGTAATAACAGAAAACTTCCCAAATATGGGGCAACAATCTGACATTCAGTAACCGAAGCATATAAAACTCCAAATAACATCAACTCAATGAAAACCACACCCAGACATATAATAATCAAGATCCCAGAAATTCAGCACAGGAATAGTATACTAAAAGCCGCTAAAGAAAAGAAACAGATCACATTTAAAGGAAAACCCATCAGAATAATGGCAGATTTCTCTTCACAAACCATCAAGTCAAGAAGAGCATGGTGCAAAGAATTTCAAGTCTTGCAAGAAAACAAATTCTAACCTAGACTGATATACCCTGCAAAACTCTCTTTCAAGTATAATGGAGAACTGAAATACTTCCATGACAAAGAATAACTAAAGAATTTCATGATGACAAAGCCAAGCCTACACAGACTACTAAATGATGTTCTAGAGAGGGAGCAAATTGATCACAGCCCCATGAATGAGAATGGAAAGAACCCACCAAATAGGGCAAACAATTAAACACAGGAGAATAAGAGGTATACAACAGTAGTCTTTCAGTTATTCTTTTGTGTTCAGCAGCAAAATATTTCCATCAGCACACTCTACAAATGGACTTCTCTTCCACCCTATGGGTCCTGATTCCATCTGAGTCTACAGGATGGATTTCAAACAAATAGTTGTAGCTCAGTCCCACAAGTGACGCCTGGCCACTAGTAACTGTCATGGTCATTATGCATGTCCACAACACATTAGAACTTTGTGCGATATCCTGTCCTCAAACTGTTAGAAGTGCTGATCATTTATCTGCCATTCCAGTATTTATCTTATGTTTAACTCTTAGAACTTCTTTGCTATTATGAAAGCTTTTTCTTAGTTCAATTGTTTTGAAACATTTAATTTTTAATTAATTAGTATTTAATTTTCTGAATATTCCTTAATCTTAATTTTATTCTAAGATTTATACTATATCTTTGACTTACAATTTATTTAAAAGTCATTGTATGGTATCTTGTCCTAGTATTAGAAACTTCAAAAAGTATATTTCTATTTTCTGTTGACTTTATATTACTTCTTCCCTGTCTTTTATACACACATACACACACACACACACATATATAAAAAAATACGTGTATAACCCAACATAAAATTGGTGCTGTTTCATAGAAATCTGCAATGACCTTTAAATAAGGGTTCATGTAATATATTTTTATATAGTCCTGCATAACTATATTGAAAGCACTTCATTGTTCATCCAAGACCATACTGCAACTTCTCTTGCCTTTTGAATTATGCTCTTTGTTATTTCCTATATGCTACTTCTGGAGGTATTAAAATATTTCAAGTTTGTATAACTAGCAAATCTTACTTTTAGTTTTCACAGGTATATTTGCTAAGTATACAATTCAAAGAGGACAGATCTTTTCCTTCAGTCCTTTAATTAGTCTAGTTTCTTATACACTTGGTCCTTTTTTTCTTTCTAATGTGGAATAAGGTGCTATTTAATTTTGTTCTTCCATAGCTAATTCTTTTTATTCATATACTTTAATGATTTTTTCTTTACAATAAATTTTGGACAATTTCATTTTTGTGTATCTTGGTATGATTTTATTTAAATTTCTTGCGCTAAAGGTTCATTTTTCTTGGAAATATGATATGTTATACTAAATTCAGAAATTTTAAATCTTTAAATATTTATTGTCTACTCCTTTCCACTTTGAGAATTCTAATTATATGAATATGTTTCTTGGTTTTGACACAGTGAACTATTATGACTGATCTATAAATTCTTTCTTCATTTTTATTTTGGACAATTTTTATTGTTATATTCATTTGTTTGTAAATAGTTTACTTTCAATTTGCAATCTATTAAAAAATTAAAATAAAATAAAAATGTAGTGTAAAAAAATGTCATTTATAAATGAAGGAGGAAAGAGAGGCTCTGGGGCCACAGGTGGAATATCTGTCTTAGGAAAGGCACATCGACACTTTACATGTAAAGCAGGGAAGAAACCCTTAAAAAAGGGCACCCATCTGATGATAACCATTATTGGTATTATTTAAAACTTAGTTACCCCTGATCCTATTGACATCAGATCTTGGTACCTGGAACTGGTACGTACACAGGTCCCCAAGTTCCAATGATTTCCCTCCTCTCTTGCTTGCTCTGCTCAAAGAACTGAAACTCTTCTTTTAAAAAAATCAAATTGCATTTTCCAATGTGAGCTACTTCCTGTCCTCATTAACTCTATCCTCAGTGACTTGCTGGGAACCTGCAGCCAGGCTGAAGGAGGTCAGGGACTGCATAAGTAAAGGTCCTTCAGGCCCATAGCAGGTCATTGTCAAGGTCTCTCTCAGGGACACTGCAATGAAATCAGCAGGACACCCAGTTTTGAATCTTGGGCAGACCCTGGAGTGGCTGAGGAGAGAGCTGGTGAGTGTTGGCATTTCTTTTTTCTTTTATTTCCCACAGTCTCTGGTCCCTCTGCCAGGGGCCCCATTGGCTGGGCAGAGGTTACAGGCTGAAGTACAGCTCTGCAGTGCCCCAGTGGGATCAACCACACAGTATAGGGTCACCATCTCAGGTTCTGGGATAAGTAGGACATGACCTACATTGGAGGTGCTGGGTGCTGTGTTCTCCAGAATGGTCTTAGAATAATACTTGAGACTGGGGATATGCCCAGCTCTGCTGCTGTGTGACCTCCAGTGGGTGACTTCACCTCACCAAGTCTCAGCTTCTTCATCACAAGATGAGGATAACAATGGTGCCAACCTTTGAGAGGTTATCAGAAGCATTCCAAGAGAAGAGCCTAGTGTATTCCTGGTACCAGTGTTGTAACCGAAACCCTAGTGGACAAAATGCACCTACTGTCTTATCCTAGATCCTCTAGAAAACAGAGGCTGAGGCAAGGATTAAGGAGCTAACAATGCTCATGGAATGTAAGCCCAAAGTGCTGAAAGGGAGAGAATAGGGAGTGAAAGCAAATTCTATGCCAGTGGCACATGGTAGGACCAGAAAGAGTCCCAGAAGGTCTGTAGGTAACTGACTGCTCTACTGCAGACCTCTCTGTAGGTGTTGAAGAAGAAATTACACCCTGGAGAAGAGAGAAAGGAGAGGAAATGTGTCTGTGTGGCTTGCACCTGTCTAATTTCCAGTGAGCAAAGATCCACCTTGCATGATGCTCTCTCTCTTGATATTGTGGGTGGTTTCTTGGGCCTTTAGTGACTGAGTGGAAAGTAAGGTCATATGCTATTTTTTGGAGTATTGGCTCCAAGTTTAAAAGTAATAGAGGTGCCCCAGCATGCACAGAGGCACCATCTATGTGAGAAAAACGGGAAGCTCAGGAAGCTGCAGGAGAGAAGACCAGCATCCCTGATCCCCAAATCTTTTTTTTTTAATTTTTTAATTTAATTTAATTTTATTAAGAAACAAATATCAATGAGACAGTTTCAAAGCTGATTAATAGGACAATTTTAATAATTAATACCTTGTATATTGTTATCTTCTTTGTGGTTATCCATAGTGCAATAAACAGACAAGATATCCTGTACAAATACTATTAGTACAAATCTTTTTTCCGGTTAAATAAATCAAAAGTAGCTATATATCTATCCTAACTGTTCTGTATATAGCAATACAAAATGATAGTTCCTTTTTATCCCCTTTTTTTGTTTAGTCCTGTCAGAGATAGATATTCTATTGACATCAAAATACTATAGGTACTTGAATTCAGCCAAACAATCCAACAGTCTATCAGTCCACAATAGTAGTGGGTTATCCACAGAAATTGTTGACTTGAGCCTTTTACAGCTCAACATCTTAATATGGCTTTACTTTATATACCTCGTTTTTATACTTTTCTTCTGGATGGTTAAGATCAAGATAAAGCAAGACCTATATAACAAGAAATGTAACTTTTGTAACTAATAAGGTCAGTCAAGTGCCCCCAGGATTTATCCTGTAACCCTGTACCGCACTTTGTAGATACTTTGTTGGTGTCAGCCATGTGGATGAGTCACGGCCATTGCTTGACCAATTTGCTCTCTGTGGAAGCCTGAGAGAATGTTTTTTCTCTCCATGTGACTCTCCTTAGGCACACTCTACATCATCGATCACATTCCTCGGTGGCTCCATAATCTCCTTGATCAGAAAATTTGGGGCACAACTGAGTTACATGGTGTTACAGTACAGGTTCTCCTATGCCCTGAGTCTTCACTGACCTTGAAAGGCTAGTGCCAAACTGTTGACTGACCTTGCAGCCCTTCCTTTTCTCCAATTTTTGTTCTTCAAACTTAGATTGTTAACCCTCCAGAAGAGAAGCTTATTATTACCCTGCAACATATGCAGTTCGGTTTACCCTATCTGTCTAAATATCAAACATCCTAGGCATAACATGGAACAGGTATTTTCCATCAAGTATTGACATGTTGAATTTTAAGTCCTTACAGAATATGAAGAAAAAAATAATTTAAAAAGTAGGCATAAACATATTTTTGCACAGAAATTTAGAAATCTAACCATATACAGCATTGTAGCAGAACAGTCCTGTGACATTTTTTTCTTGTGTCTTTTTTTTTCATTTATTACCCTTTATTTAAAGAGAATAAAAACTTTTACTTGAGAGACAGTATGGTAATAATTGGTATGTCATGACAAGAAGTACATATTCAGAAGACCAGAATGACAGGCATTCTAAGTGTGACCCTTCTATTACACGTTGCTATCTTCAGTGCAGTTGCTTGGTTCACAAGTATCAGCTTATATAATTAGACAGGGTGAGAATCCTATCAATTAACTGCTAGTTTCAAAAACCTGCTGCTGTTTCTCAGGATCATTGCCTTACCCATCTTGTGCGTATAAATGTATGGCTTTGCCCCTGTCATGTTTCCCAGCTTTTCTCCTTGCCTTCTCCTCGTTGTCCAATCCTCAAGTTCTTGCTTTCCTTTTAATTGTGTTATACCTTTCTATTTGTAATTCTTCTTTTGAGTTCTTATACTAGGGAGAGTATATGATATTTACACATATGGGTCTGGTTTATTTCGCTTAAAAGTATATGTTCAAGTGACATTCATTTAAATATGAAGGCTTCAAGTTTATCATTCTTTATAGCTGAGTAATACTTTATTGTATAGAAATACCACATCTTTTTCAACCATTCCTCATATGACAGGCATTCTGGTTGTTTCCAAGATTTGGCTATCACAAATTGTGCTGCTATAAACATAGGTACACATATATTACTATGATATGATGTTTTCAGTTCCTCTGGGAAAATTCCCAGTAGGGGGATAGCTGGGTTGAATGGGATTTCAAGTCCTAGTTTTTTAAGGAGTCTCCACACTGATTTCCATAATGGTTACACCAGTCTATATTCCCACCAGCAGTGGAGAAGTGTTCCCTTTCCCCCACAGCCTCTCCAACATTTGTTTTTGGTTGATGTTTTATGATAGCCATTCTTTGTGGGGTGAGATGGTATCTCAGTGTTGTTTTAATTTGCATTTCACAGATGGCTAGTAATGTGGAGCATTTTTTCATATATTTATTCGCTTCTTTAATTTCATCCTCTGAGAAGTGTGAGTTCATCTCGGATGCCCATTTCTGGATTAGGTCTTTAAATTTAGGGGCCCTGATGTTTTGTAGTTCTTTATAAATTCTAGAGAGCAGACCTTTGTCTGTTTGTGTTTGTTTGTTTGTTTGTTTGTTTGTTTTCAGAACCAGGGATTGAACTCAGGCCCTTGTGCTTGCCAGGGAAGCGTTTATTCCACTAAGCCATCTCCCTGGACCCTATCTGAGTGTTTATTAGTTAAGATTTTTTTGAAATTTGTGGGTTGTCTTTTCACTTTGTTGGTAATTTCTTTTGACGTACAAAAACTTCTCAATAAGTGGTCCTAGTTGTTAATTCTTTCAAGTATTACCCGTGTAATTTGGTTTTTGTTCATGAATTCTTTGCCTACTCCTATGTCTTCAAGAGTTCCTCCTACTTTCTCTTTCAGGAAATTTAGTGTTTCTGTTTTAATGTTCAGGTCTTTCATCCATTTTGACTTTAGCTTAGTGCATGGGGATAGAACTGGGTCAAGTTTTAGTTTTCAGCATGTAGAGAGCCAGTTTTTCCAGCACCATTTGTTAAAGAGGCTATCTTTCTTCCAGTAAGCATGCTTGGCCCCTTTGTGGAAGATCAGTTGGCTGAGTGTGTTCACAGAGGCCTCTGCATCTTCTAATCTATTCCATTGATCCTTAGGTCTATTTTGTTGCCAATACCACGCTGATTTTATCACAGTACCTTTGTAGTATAATTTCAAGTCAGGAATTGTAGTGCCTCCTGCCTTGTCTTTGTTGGTCAGGATTGCCTTTGTTATTCTAGGTCTTTACTGGTTCCAAATAAATTTTAGGGATGATTTCTCTAGGTCTTGGAGGTATGTTGGTGGTAGTTTGATAGAGATTGCATTAAATCTGTACAACAATTTTGGGAGTATGGCCATCTTCATGATGTTGGTTCTTCCTATCCAGGAGCAGGGAATATCTTTCCATTTTCTGAAATCTTCTATGATCCCTTTTTTTCAGAGTACTGTAATTTTCTGTGAAAAGATCTTTGACTTCCTTAGTTAGATGAATTCCAAGGTATTTCATTTTCTGTGGTGCTATTGTAAACGGTATTGTTTCTATAACTTCCCTCTTAGTGTGTTTGTTATCTGCGTAGAGGAATGCTATTGACTTTTGGGTATTGACTTTGTATCCTGCTATGTTACTGAATCTGTGTATCAATTGTAGTAGCTTCTTGGTGGAGTTTTTTAGGTCTTCCAAGTAAAGTATCATGTAATTTGCAAATAATGATAATTTAACGTCTTCTCTACCTATTCTTATTTCTTTTATTTCTCCCTCTTGTCTAATGGCTCTAGCTAATGATTCCAGAACTATATTGAATAGGAGTGGTGATAGAGGACATCCTTGTCTTGTACCAGATCTGAGAGTAAAAGATTTCAGTTTTTCCCCATTGAGAATTATATTAGCCTTTGGATTTTCATAGATGGCTTTTTTCATATTGAAGTAGAGGCCTTCTATTCCAATTTTCTGTAGGACTTTGAACATGAATGAGTGTTGGACTTTGTCAAAGCCTTTTCTGCATCAATTGAGATGATCATGTTGTTTTTAGTTTTCACTCTATTGATATAGTGTATTACATTTATAGATTTTTTAATATTGAACCATCCTTGCATCCCTGGGATGAATCCTACCTGGTCATGGTGTATGATCTTCTTGATGATTTGCTGTACTCTATTTGCTAGGATTTTATTGAGGATTTTTGCCTCTATGTTCATGAGGGAGATTGGTCTCTAGTTCTCTTTTTTAGTTGTGTCTTTCCCTGGTTTTTGTATCAGTATACTACTTGCCTCCAGGAATGATTTTGGGAGAACTATTTCCTTTTCAACTTCATTGAAGAGTTTGAGGAGTGTAGGAATTATATCTTTGGTGACTTTCTTATAGAATTCAGCTGTGAATCCATCAGGACCTGGACTTTTCTTTGTCTGCAGGCTTTTTATTACCTGACCCCCAAATCTTGATGGGTCTAAAAGAAGGCAAAGAACTACAGCTACCTAAGACCATCAAGCCCAGCATCCTGATATGAGTACCTGTCTGTGCAGCGGGAGGTAGAGCTGTGCATCAAGGAGGTGAAAGCACTTCTCTGCTGGATTCACAGTTAAATTCTACAAGAAATTCACCGAAGATATAATTCCTACATTCCTCAAACTCTTCAATGAAGTTGAAAAGGAAATAGTTCTCCCAAAATCATTACTGGAGATCTGTGTGGTCAGGGATGCTGGTTCCCAGTGTCAAAGGCATCAAATCCACTACCCAACCCTGCTGCCTTGCTGGCAGCCCTCATGTTCTCACAGACTCTCAGAGATGGTGTTAAAAGTTGGTCAAAAAAGGGGCTGGGGAGATAGCTCAGTAGAGTAAGCACTTGCCTGGCAAGCGCAAGGTCCTGAGTTCAATCCCTGGTACCAAAAAGAAAAAAAAAAAAAGTTGGACAAAAAGATACATAAAAAATTCTGTAGAAAACACATGATTAGTGTTTACCTATGGGTGAGGAAGGAAGGCCCAGGCCTCAGGGAAGCAAGAATATCCCAGTGTCTTCGTGAGGCATCTGCAATGCCCCTTCGCCTCTGAGTTCTCCTCCCAGTCCTCCCACTAGGCAGCACTACTGATGCTCAAGGGAGGACACAGACTTGGCCTTTTGTTTGTAAAGCAGTTGGCATGAAAAGCAAAGTACTTTCTTTTGTGGTTCTGAGAATGAAACTCAAGGGCCCTCCAAATGCTACACAGAGCTACCACTGAGCTTTGCCCTAGCCCTCACTTCAAGATACTATTTTTAATAAAGAAGTAATATTAATCATCTTCTCTCATAAAGTTAGACAGTGAAAGAAAGAAGTTGAAAATCTCCTTATGAGATCATGCTTGAGCCTTGCCCAGAATCAGAAGGGAAAACTGGGACATGCAGTGACCGCCTTGGAAAGGAAAAGCTGGGTAAAGGGTTAGGTTGGAACAGGCTGGGAGAGCCTTTAGCTGGAACTGTCCTCTGCATCCACAGGTTCCACATCTAAAGAGATGACCAACATTTTATTTGGGTAAAAAAATGTGTCTGTACTAAACATATGCAGACTTTTCTTCCTTGTCATTATTCCATTAACATAGCATTAAAATTGTTGCTGGTATTGTAAGCAACCTAGAAGGGAAGATTGTGAAGGTTATAGGCAAATACTATATTTCACGTAAGGTACTTGACAGCCTTGGATTTTGATCTCTTCAGGAATGCTGGAACCAACTCACCATTGACCTAGACAGGTAACAAGATATGCCCTTTTATAGCTTTTAAGTGTGGTATCATGTGTAAAAGTTAGCAACCAGGGATACAGTTCAATGGCACAAGCGCCAGCCTGGCAAGTGCAAGATCTTAAGTTTGATTCCTGATGCCAAAACACAGCTAAGAATTACCTATTCAGAAAATAAAATTTTAGCATTTTAAAAAGGGTGTAAAACAGAAAACTATGAAAAAATTCCAAGGGAAAAGCAGCAGGATTGCCGTGGGTGACTGACGATAGCAGAGTTCTTATGCAGCAGTTCTCACAGTTCTCAAGTGTTGATCTAAGAATCCCTTTGTTTCTCTTAATTATTAAGCAAGCCACATTTCTTTTGCATATGAATTGTAGCTCTCAATAGTGACTAACTTAGAAATCAAAGCTGAGAAATGTATTAATGAGGTTTAAAAATAAAGTCTTTACATATTTGTTTGTTTGTTTGCTTGTTTGTGACAAGGTCTTATTATATCATTTAGACTGGCCTTCAGCTCATGGTGATCCTCCTGCCTCAGCCTCCTGAGGTGCTGGGATTATAGGAGTGTGCCACCACAGGCAACTCATTACATGCTAATAAAGCAGTATTTATTTAAAATAACTATTCTATTCTTTCTGTGTGTGTGTGTATATTTGGTACAGGCTCTCACTATGCAGTTTGGTCTCATAGTGATCTTATTTTCAGCCTTCCCAGCGCTAGGATTACAGGCATGCACCACCTCACCTGGTCTGTCGCCCTCTCAGCTCACCCAGGGGTGGAGCCAGCACAGCATGCGGTACCAGGGATCAAACCCTGGTCCCTGTGCTTGCCTAAGTGGGTACTTAGTCTGCTGAGCTATCTTGCTGGCTCTTAAAATAACTATTTTTCAAAGCAAATATTTAGTGAGAAGAGTAGCACTGTGTCACATTGTTGCAAATCACTTTAGTGTCTGCCTTAACATATGACAGCTGCATTCTCTGGTTTCTGCATTCAGTTTATTGAGATATTATGTCATTAACTTCTAGAAAACACTACTGCACACTAACAAGAAAATGAGAATGCAAAAAGGAAACACTGAGTATTGTAACGAAAATAGTTTTGACCTCACTGATCCCTGAAAGAGTTTTTGGTATCCAAGAATCCCCAGACTGTACATCAGGACCTACTGTTCCAAAGGGCTCATCCAGGGCAAAAAGGAAAGGCAGGAGGCATTACAATCACTTATTTGAAAAATTACACTATAAAGCTACTGTGATAAAATTGGCATGGTGCTGGCCAAAAAAAAGACCTGGGAATCAATGGAACAGATTAGAAGATGCAGACACAACTACAAACACATTCGGCCACCTTATCTTTGAGAAAGGGTCCAAACATGTTCCAAACATGTTCACTGGAAGAAAGAGAGCCTCTTTAATAAATGGGGCTGCAACAACTGATTTCTACACACCAGAGGCTAAAATTAGACCCATGTCTATCACCATGCACTAAAGTACAGTCAAAATGGATCAAAGATTTAAATATTAAACCTGAAACAAATCTTCTGAAGGAAAAAGTAGGTAGAAATCTTAAAGATGTAGGAGTAGGTAGAGTTCATGAATAAAAATCAGACTGAATGGGAGATACTTCAAAGAATCAACAACTGGCCAGGGAGATGGCTCAGTGGAATAAGTGCTTCCCTGGCAAGTTGTTGATTCAAGGGTCTGAGTTCAATCTTCCGTTCTGAAAAAAAAAAAAAAAAGAATCAACGACTGGAATCTCATCTTTTTGAAAAGTTTCTGTACATCAAAAGAAATCACCAAAAGAATAAAAAGAAAATCCATGAATGGGGAAAACATTTTAGTCCACTGTCCCTTAGACAAAGGGGAGATGGCTCAGTGGAATAAGCGCTTCCCTGGCAAGCACAAGGGCCTGAGTTCAATCCCTGGTTCCGAAAAAAAAAAAAAAAAAAAAAGGATTTCTATCTAAAACATATAAAGAAATTTTAAAAATCAGGCCCCCAAAATTCAATGACTCAATAGAAAATGGGCATCTGAGTTGAATATACACTTCTCAGATGAAGAAATACAAATGACAAATAAATATATGAAAAAAATGTTAACATCATTGGTCAGTAGAGAAATGCAAATTAAAACAAAATAGACAGGCCGGTGAGATAGCTCAATGAGCTAAGCACTTGCTTAGTCAAGTGCAGAGACTGGGGTTCTATCCCTGGTGCCACATGCCGTCCCAGTCCCACTCCCTGGGCATGCTGAGCCGGCTACCAAGACCAGGCATGGTGGCACACACCTATAATCCTGGCACTCAGGAGGCTGAAAACAGGAGATCCCTCAGAGTTTGAGCTGTGTAGTGAGACCTCGTACCAAAATACATTTAAAAAAAACCTAAGATTCCATCTCATCCAAGTAAGAATGGCTGTCATCAAGAAGTCAACCAATAACAAATGCTGGTGAGGCTGTGGAGGAAAAGAAACCCTTCTCTTCTGTTGGTGGGAGTGCAAACTTGTACAACCACTATGGAAATCAGTATGGAGATTTCTCAAAATCTAGGATTGGAGGTCTCATTCAATCCAGCTGTTCCCCTCTTGAGTATCTTTCCAAATGAACAGAAAACATCGTAGCACAACAAGATGTGTCCACCCATGTTTATAGTAGCACAATTTGTGATAGCTAAATTTGGGAAGAACCCAAATGCCCATCAAGTGAGAAATGGATAAAATAGATTTGGTACTTTTACACAATGGAATATTACTCAACTATAAAAAGATAAACTTGAGGGTTTTATAGGTAAACAGATACAACTAAAGATGATACTTGTAAATGAAATAAATCAGACCTGCATGTGCAAACATTGCATGGTAAGAACCTGAAAGAGTAAATAAAATCTGATACAATAGATACTGTGAAAGGGAAAGAATGTGTTCAAAGGGAAGGAAAAACTGGGATGAGGAAAACAATGGGGTGGGAGGAGATGTATTTATGTATGTATTTAGGATGGCTTGAATAATTGTACTGCTGGTTTTTCCTCATCTGCAGAGGGGAACAGTTGATGCTTAAATTTTTTTCTTATCTTCTTTAATTTCTTATAACTTTTTTCTTTTCTTTCTTTCTACCAATTTTGCATGTTTATATCTGGTAATCTGAACCACTAATTTGAAGACAACATGTGCAATACAGCAACCATTATTGAATTCCAATGTTTTGTTTGGTGAAGTTCTGTATCTTTTATAATGTTTTAAAACTATTTTGTATTCTCTTTAGATAAGTAAATAAATAAATGGCTCAGCCAGGCAGGTTTATTTCACTTTGTTTTAATTTGAAAGAAGTCACTATCATTTTAATATCAGTAAAAGTATTTCTTTCAGTAAGGATTAAAGGATACAGTGGAGTTATGCCCTTACAGTTAGAGTGTGTTCCAGGGGGTTAATTCATTTGTCCCTTGTAAGGGTAAATAATTTGATTTTCATTTTTCACATGAAGCAGGTGAGGCTTCTGCTGGGTTGTGTGGCTCCCAGAAGAGTGACAGTGACACGGAGGGGCCTGATGAGGAGGGGCAGCCAGAGCTCTGCATACCTCTCACTGCCTTTTTCTGTCTTCCTTCTTTCCAGTCTGAGATGCAAATCCAGGACCAGCAGCTCCTGCTCACACTGAGGCACCTCCACAGTGTCCTGGCGGAGCTGCGAACACCACGTACCCAGTGGGAGGATGGCAGATCCAGCAGGGGAACATCTCCCATCAGAGCACGGGCAGGCTCTGAAGGCAGGGGCTGCCAGCCAGTCTCCCACAGGAGGCTGGCTCAGCTCCTTGAAGGGGAAGAGAACAGAAGAAACTCCATTCCTTAACTGGCTAGAGTTGACACTGGCCCCAATCCTGCCATCTCTAGACTAAACTTTATGGTGTTTGGGAGGAGAGAGCATTGAGATGGGGGTCCTGAAGCCAGGGCTCTGGGGTTTGTCTCTGCTCTTTGCTGTCCCTGGATTCTCACTCAACTTCTCTGTGTCTAGCTCCTTTTCTATCATGTATCATTAAATTTTGTAAGACATAAATAAAGTATCAGATGTGAACATGCACAAATGTATTATATAGATTTTCACAGGTCCCCATAGCTATAATCCTAGGCTTGAGAATTTCTCACAAAGCAATAATTAAAAGAAGAAAGATTGATTGATTGATTTGATGTGCAAGAAAGGTTACCTAGCATTGCTATGTTGAAAAAATTCAAAACCCTATGCAATGATCTTTCCACAGGACGCCTCCTCTGAGTTTCCTGTCTTCTCACCTAGCCTTTCCATCCTCCCTCATCCATTATAAAAATGCTCTGGTCCCACCTAGGCCATGGGATAGGCATGTGATC